TTGGGGTTTTTGCTAAGCGCTCGTACGCTTGAACTCACTCGCAGCACTTACGAAAATGGCTCGCCAGAACATGTGCGCGTGTTGCATATTAAACTAATGCCCGGAGGCCGTGTGTGTATCCCGTCCTCCATTACGGCTCCGGCTGGGCTCGGGCCACGCCGCCCCGCTGCTCGTGTTTACCTGCAGAAAGCTGCTGATTTCGATAAGGCGGGAAGAGCGGCAAATGACAGCGTGTCAACAGCAGCTTTCCGTTCGCGTGAGCTTTCACCTCTGGTGCGCGCAATATCACGGTGCATTTTCCTGACGCGCGCTCGCAGGGAGTCTGCGGTAATTACCAGAGATTGTCTTACTATAGGGAGATGAGAGCAGTGTTGCCAGATTGGATGGACGATTTCCAGCCCAAAAGCTCACAAAAACCCGCCCAAAACTTTAACTGTCAAAATAATGTGATGAAATATGTAAATCAAGGTTGATAAGGACCATTTTTAACTCCTTAAAACAAAATAATGACGACAAAATAATATAAATATAACGTTGGATAAATTTCCCAGGTAAACGGATCAAATCGGGGCAAATAGCCTACATTAAAGAGAATTAGGCTACCGAACATGAATAAAATATGCAACCAGACACTGTCAAAACGGCAATCAAGAAATTAACCAATAGCAGTTTTCAAGGATTTATCAATCTGGACCGTTTAAAAGATAAAAGACAGGATTGTATAAACCGACATATTTAGTTTCGGTTTTGATAATTCAAACGTGCTCTGATTTCGGAGTTGCAGTGATAGAGCCTTCGGGTCATCTCACTCCACAATAATTCATGTTTTGAGAGTTGAGTCACTCTCCCACTCTTTATATTTAGGCATTGTGATTACTTGAATATACAGTCATACTACATTCAAAATTAGATGCGTTATAACTTATCACGCTAAAAACATAACGTCTGTCTGCTGAGCCCTCGTGATAAATGCGGCTGTCGATGTTTACATCAGCACCAGCGCCTCTTTAGTGTGTGTGTGTGTGTGTGTGTGTGTGTGTGTGTGTGTAGAA